CAATTACAGTATTTTTGCAGTCAAGCCAAAGCATCGGGGCAATAGCCAAAAGCTGCGTCCGGACGCCATGCTATTGGCAGCAGACCAGTTACGGGATTGTCTTATTTTAATGGCTACAGGATTCACTTATTTAGGCTTATTTTGTAACCTATTTGGCTCTAATAGGTTTATTACTTAAAGCCCAGTTGTAATACTCTTAATTTTAAAAGGATATTTTTGGTATTTAATTTATGATTTTTATTACATTTTTTTTATTTAATTGATTACTTGAATTAATTGACTTATTTGATTTAATTAATTATTTGAATTATTTACATTAATTGTGATTATGTGAGTTAATTGTTTTAATTATTTATTTGGTTTTTTTATCCATTAAATTGTATTATTTGATTTAATTACCTGATAGAATTGTTATTAATTAATTGTTTTCATTTTTGAATTTACTTACTTATCGTAAGTTAGGTTTATAAGTTAGGTTTAAATTTACCTGGGTAGCCAACGTTGATTATAACCTAGGTTTATCTATGGGACGAGTTATATCTTTATGGACTTAGGGTTTCTATAGTGTCTATATATATGTTGTTATACGTTGGTTTAGGATTACAAATAAAACCCTATTCACCATATTCACGTATACAGTGAGATAGGGGAAAACAGATAGAAAGATTGAAGGGAAACACAGAGTGAACTTGGGTGATTAGCAAAGCAGCTCAAGGAGGAAGGAGCATGGTAGTGTGGAACTACAGTGTAGGACACAAACATATCACACAGAGACGGTGAATTAGAATTTCAAATCTAAAATTCAAAGGTAAGTCTTTGTTCTTCTCTTTCCCATGAATCTGTGTTCTGTGCATACTTAGTTAAGACTCCAGGGATTAAAACAAGGATAAAACAGACTTAAATAAACTTTATAACAAGTTTTATATGCATGTATGAATTTCATTTACTCTCTTGAATTAACTGCTTTGCAAGAATTGTTGATATTCTGCTATTTGTTTTTGCTGCGGATTGTTTTTGAATCTTGTGTTAGATTCTTGTTGTGAAGGTATATTTATTAGTCTGAGACATTAAATGAACCCTAGAATAAGTGTTTAACACAGTATTTAATTTCACCAAGTAAATCTGTTGTGGGTTGCTTAAAATTTCAGACTAAGGTTCTATAAACGTGGCTTTAAAACTTGTGTTCCTACACATGTTAGGATTGGATCTCAGTGGTTTAAACTTATTTAGGATTAAGATTGAATCTAGAATAAGAATTAGAACACACCACAGAGGCTCTGTAATCACCGGAGTCGAAGAAGATGAAGCTGGAACTGGCAACAGGCTGCTAAAGGGGATAGAGCAGGCTCTAAAACACAAATGAGCCGGCTCAAAGGCAAAGGAGCCGGCTCTATTAGAGTTTGGAGCTGGCTCAATGCTGAAGGAGCCGGCTCTAACCCAAAAATGGAGCAGGCTCAATGTTTTAATTGAGCCTGTTTTTTCTTGAAACACACTAAAATGAGTTTTAAGGGCTGTTTGGGCTGCACAGTGTTTTCTAAGGCTGTTTAAAAGCTACTGTGAGATGTAATTAAATGTTAGGGACTTAAATAAATATTGAAAACATTTAATACAATAATGGTTTAAGGAAATGAGCAATGAACAACTCAAATAATGGCTATACGTTGCACTGTTTTTGCTAGGTTTACATGATTGGAAATTGGCAAAGTTTTTATATATAATTCAATTATATATAATCCTATATTTTTATAGTGTTATAAGTATGGTGAATTAATTATATTTAACTATACTTAGTTTGGTTTAATTGATATTTAATTTGTTTAATTTGTATCAATTTATCGGTTGTTTTGGAGGACTTAAACGCTATGATTTATTTTAGCAGTTTAAATGATTGGAGCATGATATTTAGGTTTTGTAATGAATACCTAATATTGATATATGTATGAATTTATACAAATGCATACTCTGGAGTATGGTTGTTGATTATATAATGTTGTTTTAATAACTATGCTATATGGAGGATTTGTATGTACCGGTATGGGACAGTGACATACTAGGTATGGATTAGTCAAACACTAAATCCTACCTAATTTGGATTAAGGTATGAATTAACCCTATGAGTTAAGTCCATCACCTACGTGTGTCATGTCAACAAAATAGTTGAATGACTTAATATGGTTTCAGGACGGATGGATATACATATACCAGATCACCACACAAATGGATGGTATTATGTACTAGGAGGAGTATGGACTTTATATATTTATTATATGTGCCATGGTATGAGCTTGAGTCTCAGGACCATGGTTAGGGTGCGTATATCGCCTAGGATGGATAGCTGGACAGAGGTGTTGTTCCTTGATAGGTGTAGATACACATGACCACAGTATGTGCGATTTGCATGGTATCTCTATTCAGGCTGAGACAAACCTTTTTGGACCAGTGAACGTCCTATAGTGTGTACTATATACATATATGGACTACTCTAGATATTGTTGAGTCTTCCTAAGATGTATCTGCGTATCGGATTATTGTTTGGATTGTAGTAGATCAGGACTTGCATGTGGGCCTGACCCGCTCCTTTATTTTTTAGATGTTCGTCAGTTCCAGGGTTAGAGCTTGGACGTGTAGAGTAGATACAGATATTCATTCCTCCGATTATGTAGAAATCTTCTCTATGATAGTTGTGGATTTTATTTCTATTATTTCAGTTTTGGTTTGAGAATTTTAATAAGGGGTCCAATGGATGGATTTCCGAATTGTAAATGTATGGAGTTTTGGATTATCGGATTTGATTAATTATGATTCAAGGATTTCCTTTTAGTTTCTTTCAGCTCTTAGATTTTAATTCTTATTCAATTTGTATTCTGTGTTCATTTTAAATTATTAATTGTTTGATATCCCTCGGGTTTGGGCCTGAGCTTGATCAACCCGTGTCTCGGATCTGAGAGGTATCACACCAGTGAACCATTATTTTTTAGGGTTAGTTTTAATTTCTTTATTTTAATAAGGAGTTATTATTATTTTTATTATTAAGTTTTGATTTTCTGTAATCGAGATATCGACATTCTCTTTGGAAAACACGAAAAAGAGGAAAGTTACGGTTTTTGAGAAAAGTTCAGAAAAGAAGAAGAGGAGCCAGATGAATTAAAGGATGGGACTTGTTGACATCTTGCATCCATCAACCATGATCGGCTAATTCTTCAACTTAGGGTTGGATAAACCCTAGGCATGTAACCTAACTTTTCTCTCTTTTACTATTTTGGGGATTTAATTTATGTAATTTTTGTTATAGTTATTGCGGTGATATATATATAATAATTCTTTTAATTGATTATCTTTGTCAATCTCATATTGTCTTATATGTTTTTAAATGATAATTGATCTTTACACTTGATTTCTTTGTGAATTGAATCATGTGATGGTTATGCATTGTATTAATTTGATGTAATTGTGTTTTAATTTGATGGAAAGTACTTATATTAGATGGGTTGTACTACACAATTAGGTTAATGTCTAATTTAAATAGTTTAATTTTAGGTTTGGTTATTTTAATTTAAGGTAAATCAGTTAATTGAAATTTAATTATTAGGTAAGTAGACAATCCATACAATTATTTGAAATCCATACTTTTTATTACAATTACATATCCTCTAGATTAATGTGTGTTAAATTTGTAACTTGAATTGATGAATCATGTTTTGAATTAGTGAATTGCACTACATTTAGTTTAATTGTCATAAGGTAGTTGATTCATGCTTGAAATTGATGGTTTACACTTTTCATTGCAATTGTTAGCCGCATATAGATTACATAATATTATTTCCCCAATTAGTTGAAAGTTAGTGAGTTAGGGAATGTGTTTAGTGGTAAATCCTACACCCTAAGTCTCTTTCTAATATTTTAAACTCTATTTTTTTATTACAATCATTTAGTTTAAAGTTAGTTTTCATCACAAACAAAACCCTTTTTAGCAATCACATAAGCACTAAAGCAAAATTCAATTCCGAAAACCAATAATTGTTTAGATCTCTTGGGACGATCCCTACTCGCTTCATACTCTATAGTATAAGTATTTAGTGGTTTTATAAATTATAAAATATGATACCCACTTGACATTATTTCTAAACCTAAAGTGATATGCATTATTTTGTGCACACACTCGGTCGCATCAGAAAATAGGAGAGCTAAAGAAAAAATTCAAGCAGAGAATTTATTGGGGGGAAAAAAAAAAATTTAAGCAGAGAAGATGAAAATACCAAAAACAATACCACATCATGCCAAACAACCCCTAGGTCTTCTTTAATCTTCTAGTTCTAATTTGTTTGTAGGCTTATTTTCTGGACTGGGATGGACTATGGCTAATAGGAAATAATAGTACTAATTATTATTATTATTTTTTTGAACCTGAGCTATAGCCCAGGTTAGCCCATATGGAGCTTCGCCCCTGGTTGTGAAGATAAAGCTCTTAGTCGTTTTCATGAGTTTTAGCGATTCCCATTGTATGGGTGGTTGAATATAAAGGGTAATAAAAGGTATATATTCGTATGTATGTGTATATAGAGACAAAATAAGAGAGAAATAATAAGGGCATTTTTGTCTTTTTGATTCAGTTAGAAATTTTTGTAAATATCAATATATAATTTATGGGTAGTATTGTAAAAACACACATTTCCTTTGGACAGGTGTGTAGTTAAAATTATGAAACGTAAAAGAGTGTGAGTGGAATATTGGCAAAGGTCAACGGGGCGTAGGTGAAATTATTAACCTTATATTGTATCACCACCGGAAATGAAAAGAGTAATTATCCAAAAAAATTTATTGTGAAGATGGTCCCGAGGGGGTTCGATCTGCGAATCTCCAAGTTGAGTTGTGACTTGTGAGGCCAGAATTTTAGCATCAGACCATCCATTTGAATTAAATGCAACAATACTTCAAGAAGGCACTAGGAGTGCCAGACTCTATTTTTCATATGCTCCTCTTACTTGTATAATACTGTAAGTATATATTCATTCCATATTTGTCTTCACCAACACACGTATAGTCATAGTACAAAATACATATACACACACACACACATATATATATATGCATAAATAAATTTCTTCCCTTCAGTTCCGCGTCTCTCACGTCCTGCAAAGTATATACCAGGAAGCTTATTAGAAGAACAACTTGGTCCCACTCCACAAGACATCCAAGTAAGTCCTTCAGTGGAGACCTGACAAATATTTTACCGTTATAGTCTTCCACACACACATATATATAAACATCCTTTGTCACACAGAATTCATAATCCACCACATAACTGGGTAAAAGTCAGAACTCTTTTGCCATGGCGGTGCTTATGAAGTCTTCATTGTTCTTCTTCCTTCTTTCCCTGTCTCTGCAATTATTTTACTTCGCAAGTAAGTCCAAAAACCTTTTAGTTTCTGCTTGCAATTCGCTTTCAGAGTATTCTAATTGAAATTTGTGTTTACATTTTCCAGGAAAATTTTATTTTCCATAGGAAAGTTCGTGTGTGTGTGTTTTTGGAATTTTTATTCGAACTCTCGAGTAAGTCCAAGGAATTCATAATTCCAAGGGGGCAAAATTTACTAATCACAAGGCGTCGGAATGGGGAGGAATTGTTTTTGTCTGTGGAATGTTAACTGAGTCGACTCGGTGTGAGTCATCTAACGCCGGTAAGTTCCTATTGTTGCAGACGCGCAGTCGTTTATTGGTATCAACTACGGCCAAGTCGCCGACAACCTTCCGCCACCGACGTCGACGGCGAAGCTGCTCCAGACGACCACCATCGGAAAAGTCAGGCTGTATGGCGCCGATCCGGCGATCATCAAAGCACTGGCGAACACCGGCATCGGAATCGTCATCGGCACCTCCAACGGCGACATCCCGGGCCTCGCCGGCGACCCAAATTTCGCCGGCCAGTGGGTCAGCTCGAACGTCTTGGCCTACTATCCCGCCAGCAACATTATCACCGTCACCATCGGTAACGAGGTCATTACCTCAGGCGATCAGACCCTCATCTCACAACTCTTGCCTGCCATGCAAAATGTCCAAAATGCCCTTAACGCAGGTTAAATGTCCCACCATTTTTCAATTTTTTCTTTAATATATGTGTGTGAATTGTGTGTACAGTTCATGCAAGTTTCATGAAATGTTCACCCAAAATTTTCTGGTTTTGAAATTCAGCTTCTCTTGGTGGGAAGGTTAAGGTCTCTACAGTACATTCGATGGCTGTGTTGACTCAGTCCGAGCCGCCCTCGGCTGGGGCTTTCAATCCCGGGTTTGGTGACACATTGAGAGCTATGCTGGCATTCCAGAGAGCTAATGGTTCGCCTTTCATGATCAATCCGTACCCTTTCTTTGCGTACCAGAGCGATCCAAGGCCGGAGACCCTGGCGTTTTGTCTCTTCCAACCCAACTCGGGGCGAGTCGACTCGGGAAACGGTATCAACTACATGAACATGTTTGATGCTCAGGTGAGTTTTCTAAACTTGAGTCTATGAAATATTCTGGTGCCGCCCAAGTCCATTACATGATCTATCAGGGACGGAGCAGAAAATTGTGTGACAGGAGGCAATAGCAGATTTTTTTGTAATAAGGGGGGCAATATGACAATTTCATAGGTAAATAATTCAAAAAAAGAACTTATCAAAAAAATAATAATTACTAGTATTAAAAAAAAAAAAAAAATTATTTAGTGCCACCATTGACAATACTATAGGTCTGTGTGCAAACCAAACGGACAAAGATTGTGGACCCTCATACGCAGCACAAACATTTGTGCTGTATTGCAGATGATCGGGACTCACAGTGCATAGTTGCATTAACTACTTGGAATAATCTTTCTTTATTGATTAATTTATAATTATGCAGTGAGATTTATTCTATATGAAACATTAGCAAGATGTGACTAGTTCTTCTTGTTTTTTAAAAAAAAAAGTAAATTAACAACTCAAAGAAAGTGATGTTGCATTTGGTAGCATGATAATATTCACGCTTTAGAATTAGAATTGAAAGAAAATTAGCTTCAAAATTTATTCCAACTTAGGCTTCAATTAAAATTGAAGAATTCGTGTGTTCCAAACATAAATGTAACGCATTGATGATATTAGTGAACCAAACTACATTTGACTCATTTGATATAACCCGAGATATAAATAGCTAAGCGGTGATGGTTGGATCATCTTTCATCATTGGATGCCCCACGGTTTGTCTTTTTCGTTTTTTGTTTTATTTAATTGGGTTATTCTCCATGATTCCAGTTCAAATAGATAAAACTCAATTTTCACGCATTTAGTCTACACTCCTTTAATGTATAAATTTATATTAGCAAACTACTGCATCACTTTCATTTTTGAGCCGGCATCTGATCAACTTGTGAGCATCCTGTCGGGTGCATTTGGCTATTATTCCAGATTGAATGTTACACTTCCTTGTGCTATAAAGCAAGCATAGTTGTATATTACTTGCACTTCTTTTATATTTGATCCACACAGTTAAAAACACAATTGGACAGCATCTGTGTTGGCTGTGACTTCACGGCAATTCAGGATCTATGCTTTTGGTGAAATTTAACTGTGATGTAGTTGGTATCTGTAACATTTTTGTATGTGAAACAAGGACGATTCAAAAGTATGTACGTGTGCATATATAAATGTGAACACTAGATTGTGAAATAGTCTTCTAGGAAATCATTTGTTGCCTATTCTCTCTAAAATAAATCCTGCTTTTTTCGTGAAATAATTGGACTTGCATCTAATGCATTAATGCGGTTCGCTGTGGTTGGTGACTGGTGGTCCATTACAATAATTGTAGATGAGCCAATTCATTTAGCGATTTTGGTGGCTTAGAGAACTTACTAAATTTTAATTAGGGACCACCAGATGTGATCCTCCTACTACCATAGTCCGGGGCAATTATGTGGTTTGTTGATCAGTTAATCTATTCAAGCCCCATGGGCAAGCAAGTTCATCAATGTATTCATACTTTGTTTTGCAATAACTTTCTGCAGGTTGATGCTGTACGGTCTGCCTTGAATGCAATGGGATTTAATGACATTGAGATTGTGGTTGCAGAGACGGGGTGGCCTTACAAGGGTGACTCTAACGAAGTTGGCCCCAGTGTTGACAATGCAAAAGCCTATGTTGGAAATTTGATCAACCACCTCAGAACAATGGTTGGGACACCACTAATGCCTAGCAAATCTGTGGACACTTATATTTTTGCTCTTTATGATGAGGACTTGAAACCTGGGCCGGCCTCGGAGAGGTCATTCGGGCTCTTCAAGCCTGATCTTTCCATGACTTATGATGTTGCTCTTTCAAAGAATGGTCAGGTGAGAATTTGATTTGTCATTCTTAGAACCATAGTTGAAATTTAGTTTAGTTACTAGGATGGTGGGTGTGGACTTGTGGTGGATAGAGATAATTGATGCTTGGGAACACGTGGGATTTGGTGTTACTATTATTTATGGAAAGAATCTGAAGATGAAATTTAGAAGCTAGCTTTAACAACTCCGCTTAAGAATAATGACGAGAATTTTGAGGCCCCTGTCATACATAAACCAACTTTAGCTGCCATAATAATCCAAAACATGAGTTTATGTTTAGAAATGATCTCAATTATGAAAAATGGAGTGGAAATGGTCCTACGAATTTTTATGAAATATTGGATCATTCCATATTACTGTAATCATTTTTAATAAAGACTTTATATACATGGATCATACCCACCATGGATCATTGTTTCTGTTCATTCGATTTACTACTGAATAACATCTTCCTTTTCTTGGTTGATCTGCCCTCTAGACTCCCCCAACTCCAGTTACTCCTATAACTCCTCCAACTCCAGTGACTCCACCGACTCCACCAAATGGAAGTTGGTGTGTACCAAAGGTTGGAGTTTCAAATGCTCAATTACAGGGAAATTTAGACTATGCTTGCGGCCAAAACATTGATTGTAGTCCGATTCAACCTGGTGGTCCCTGTTTTGATCCAAATACCGCGGCATCACATGCTACCTATGCAATGAATCTCTTCTATCAGACTGCTGGCAGGAATCCCTGGAATTGCGATTTTATGCAAACAGCAATGCTCACATCCACTAATCCAAGTAAGCTTTCTCAGCTACGTCTTGAACTGATTTGAATATATAGCAATTCGTAGATAAAAACATGACCATGTTGCGGTCTATATAACCCCGTGATGGTTTCTCTCAGCCTATAGATCACTTTGGGGTGTGTGTGTGGCATGTGGTGAGTGGTACCACCTAATATTGTTGGAATCAATGGATGGTCCATGTGCCCATACATGGTAACTGGGAGCAATTGTGCCCATACATGGTAATTGGGAGCAATTGTGGACAAAGAAATATTCCAAGTTAGTGCTAGCACTGTGTAACTTGTTAAACACGAGCATGCGAGAGAGAGAGAGAGGGAGAGATCAGAGGACCACATGATGCATAAGTTTTACTGAAGTGGACATTCTCATTACGCTTGGCTTTTCTGATCATTAGCATCTGGATTTTTTTGGTTCTTTATTGCTGTGTATTGGATTAATTTCTTGGGTTCATAGTTTTATGCATGAACAAGTTATTGTAACCGCGTCACGTCTTTCTTCCAAAGAAAGAACATTCTGTTAACTTTGTTGTTCCTTCTCTTATTGATTTATTTGTCTATGTTGTAGGTTACAATGGTTGCATTTACCCTGGTGGGAGTACCTGAAGTAGGAGAGAGGAAGAAAAATTCAACTGAGTTTTTTCTTTTTTTCCTTTTATTTTTAAGTAATTAAGCAAAAGTATTAAGGGCATGGTAATAATCTTTTGAATTGTACCCAAAACAATTACAGAAATTGGTATAGTATGATAGTGAGTTAAAGGTTTCCTCTTCTATTTCGGGCTCTCTCTCTCCCTGCGCGCTCATGCATATATATAAATGTGCGTGTAATTTTGTTAAGAACTTGCTTAAATGAGCCATTTCTGTGTGCTATGTTTCAAAATTCCATTTATAAGCATGTGGTTGATTAAATTATGCAGTTGGCAATTGGACTGACCTTTATGTATTCAACTCACATGATTATGAAGCACATGGTTGGTTAAGACTTGGCACAATAGTATTAAATAGTCTTCGTGCGACTTGGCACAATAGTCTTCGTGCGCGCTCATGCATATATATAAATGTGCGTGTAATTATGTTAAGAACTTGCTTAAATGAGCCATTTCTGTGTGCTATGTTTCAAAATTCCATTTATAAGCATGTGGTTGATTAAATTATGCAGTTGGCAATTGGACTGACCTTTATGTATTTCTTTTTGGACAATTCAACTCACATGATTATGAAGCACATGGTTGGTTAAGACTTGGCACAATAGTATTAAATAGTCTTCGTGCGACTTGGCACAATAGTATTAGATAGTCTTCGTGCGACTTGGCACAGTAGTATCTAACAGTCTTCGTGCACAAAGAGAGAGAGAGAGAGTCTTCTGGGAGTGTTTTCATTGTTTCTTTTTGAGAGAGAGTCTTGTGGGAGTGTTTTCATTGTTGTTTTTGAACAATCTTATCGATAATAAACAATCCACGCAATTACTTTATCTACTGTCCACACTTTCTTTTTCATGTTTATATGATTTTATTTGACTGAAGTCAGTAATTTTCATTGTCTTCTGGGAGTGTTTTCGTAGTTGTTTTTGAACAATCTTATCAATAATAAGCAATCCATGTAATTGCTGTATCTACTGTCCACACTTGCTAAATTCATGTTTGTATGATTTTATTTGACTTAAAGTTAGTAATTTGCATTCATTTTGATTTCTGTCCATAGGCAGAATCAAAAGCATTTAGTTGATTGCCTGTTTGTACAATTCAAATGGCCAAAACTTTTATCTATTTTGTGCACACTACATATATACATATACGTATATGTGTGTGTGTGTGTGTGTGTGTGTGTGTGTGTGTGTGTGTGTGTGTGGATGTTTTACACTCATTTACAGTTTCTTATTTGAAGCAACTGTTTTGCAGGGTGGATTGTCAAATGGGGGCACACTTCCTCATCCTTTGTCTGTTTTCTCCTCACCAGATTCTGGTTCCAATTGATACTTATGTTTATTTAATGTGGTGTTCTTCGTTTGTACATGGATTACAATACATTTTACTCTGCTATGTAATTGTAAAAAGAAAAAAAGTTGATTTCATTTATAGTTTTACTAGGAATTGTTGATAAATTCAAGTTTTTAGTGCCTGAGTGTTATGTATATTGCTAGTCTGAAGTGAACTTATTCGCCTTGCATTTCTGCAAAGCAGATTATTCCAAGTGTTCAAATTCCTGTAATTTTGGATTTTTATTGTCAGGTTTTGTTTCTACTTTTAGGAATATTTAAGGGTTTTTAATTTTTTTTTTTTCTCCAGGGAAAAAATTTCTCTCCTTCACTTGCAATAAAATCATTAAATTGTGTTACAGCTGAATCATGTGACAATATTTTACTTTATTTATTTTTTTCCCCTTTGAATAAGCTAGGGCTTCAAAAAATGAATATGGTCTAGAACATTTTCCAAATCCAATGATTGGTGAGTGTCCAGGACATCTCCTTTCTTGGAGAGGATTTTTATTCTTTCTAACATATGGTAAGAAAGTTAATTCTAGAGGAGTTTAAATGTATTTACTGTTATTGAGCGGGATAGGGATAAATAAATATAACACGTGGTAAAGATATTCTTTCAATAGGATGGTCAATATAACAATTATATATAACTTTAGAGAAAAAACAGAACTCAAATCTCTCATGTATTAACAAACCTACGGTTTTCAAAATATAAATCTAATGATCTTGAATGTATTAAAAATGTTAAAATAAAAAGGTGAAGAGGTGGATTATGGGAGTCGTTCCAAGACACCTGACACCACGGGAAAATAATAATAATAATAAAAAATAAATAAATAATTGGGAACCACAATTGCTGTTGGATAGCTAATTTGGTTCTCCTTCTGGTGGAATTATAAAACTTTTTTTAACAAAAAAAAAAAAAAAATTATAAAACGTTCCTAAAATCTAGTATATATTTATATAATTACGCGGTAGCTCATATCAACAATCCGTTGTCGTCCAGCGGTTAGGATATCTGGCTTTCACCCAGGAGACCCGGGTTCGATTCCCGGCAACGGAACATCCTGTTTTTTTCTTTCTTTGGATGAGTTAAGTGCCTTATAAACATGGTGTGCTCTCTCTAGTCTTTACGGACATAAGGATTTTAGTTTTTTGTTATACGTTTTTTCTTATTCGATAAGTAAAGCTTAAAATTTATTGTGCATTGTTTATCTCACCTTGCTAAGTTATTTGTCATTGCTTTTTTTAGTTCGCACTAAAAAAGGAATGACAAATAACTTAGTAGTATATATTTGAATGTATTTTAATATAATCCGAAAATATTGGATTAATTTTATTATTATTATTGGATAATCAATCAAATATGGAAAAAAAAATACTACGTATATAACTTTATGAAGGTGGGTTTGAAAGACGGTTGGGCCGTCACAAACCCGCCCGAAACTACTACAGTGTGTGTCGATATCATACCTTACACTGTCGGAAATTCAAATTATTGATTTTTTTTTTTCTTCCGGAAAAACAAATTTTAAGCGCCAAAAGGCCAAAAAACTGTCTCGCGTGCCAGAGCGCCAAATCATCTCTCTCTCTAAACCCCTCTCTCTCTAATGCCGTCTTCGTCTTCCTTAATTGTCTTCGCCGGATTAGCCAGTACCGTCACCGTTGGTACTTTCCTCATCCGGCGATTCTTCACTACCGGCGACAACACCATCGTTCGCATTTCCCGATTATGGTGGCGAAATCCCCCTTTCCGTTCCAGGTTCACTCTGACGATTGAACAGATGAGTCTCAATCTCGAATTGTACCGGCGGAGATTGGAACTCAACACGGTGATCATACACGAGAGGAGAAGGAGATTCAACATCTCGGTTCGATTCGCTGCAAATCCTCGTCTGGAGGTCGCCGTTCTTCTCCTTCTTCTCCTCCTCCGATCACAGGCCGGGCACATTTTGCTACCGCTTTTGGAGGACATCGAATTCGCTTCCATGTTCTACCTTCGGGCGCAAAGGTGTCCTCGATTCACTTGTAGGATTGTCGATGTGCGCCTGGATCAGTAGTTGATGCTTCACGGGATGCAGATGTTTCAAGTTCGAAAGCATTAAATTAGGGTTTGAACTCTGTACCATTTTTTCTTTTCTGAACTAATTGTCACTATTTTGATTAGAGAATGCTAAGCAATCTGTACATTGTTACTCACTGTTCTCATTAGCCCCCAATAAAATTTGACCTTGTTGCACTACATTGTTAATCACGGCGCAAATAATCCTAAGCAATCTGTACTAGAACTTGAATTTAGCCCAAAGTTCCAAGAAGAGCTCAACTATGAATTTGCGCAATTAATATACTCTGTTTATAGAATGTTATCATTTGTTCATCAGTGATTCTGTATTAGGATCGTAAAGGGCTTGGGATGGCCATGTTTATATTAGTCTAATGGACTGTATTGTAAATAAAAGCATTGGTGGAAATGTCCTAGTTGAAAAGTAGCACACTCTCTTATAGCTATGTTAGGCTCATACAGGAGCAACACTTGCTGTCCAGCTGCACCTTTGACAGCATTTGCGTCTTTAATATAGAATTTGAATATGCTTTAATAGTAATTTAATTTTTCAATTGTGTGCCTCGCTTCACTCAAGCGTGCCTCACCTTGCGCCTAGGCTCCAAAGTAACTCTAGTGCCTCAGTGCGCCTTGGACCTTTGATAACACTGGTTAGTAGTTTCAGCTCACCAAGGGAACTTGTACCGGAAGAGGTTGATTTGGATCAGTATTATTTCTTAGTTAAGGGGCTGATCTCTCAAAAGGTGGAGTACTAGAGAGATAACAGCCCCTCCACTTCAGGTCTCTTTTTTGTTAATGAACATTTCTGCTGTAGAAGTGCCCATAGAACCCCGAAAACCCCCTCCAAAACCTTGCAAAACCCATGATGGATAACAGATATTCTTCTTGCTTATTATTTTTCTTCTAACATAAATATTTGGGGAAATACTGATTTGTTGGGATTGCAACTTTAATACATTGTGGATGGTCTGGTGGCTTAAGTTTGTGGTTTTAATAGTTTTTTCTTCTTCAATTGATAATGTTGTGGGGTGGTCGTGTGTTGTCCTAGACTGGTCTGCCCCCTTGCATGTGTTTTTCCTTTTGTTCCTTTTTTTGTTGCTTGCTCTTGGAAGTTGGTTTTTCGAAGTTGTGTTGATGTGTTCAAAAGGGTGTGTCCTTCTAGTTGTTTGTAATATGTTGTTCCGGTGCATAATATTTTGCTTAGGGAAAAAATTTTGTAGTTGCTATACTCGAATGGGAGGTGCTCCACCGGCCAGTTCATCTTTTCAGATTAAATCATTGAAGTAGCGGATCTGTTGAACATTTGTATTTTGATAACCGGAATAAAAGATTAGTTTTGTACATAGATTGGGTTCTCACACGAGGAATTGGCTAGGATTTGTGCAGATTTCCGGCAATCTAAGGTTGTTGCAAGTTTGAGTATTTGGCGAGGGAATTGAAGAGGAGTGTTGAGGAAGTAATGGGGTTTCTGCAGATAGTTCTGAGCAGAAGCAATCTTTAGGTTTAGATAGTTCTGCCGTATTTGGTTTGGAGAAGCAGATAGTTCCGAGCAGAGTAATCTTTAGGTTTTATTGAAGGGAATGTTGTTGTGAAGTGGTCAAACATTTTATGCATGATGAACAGGAGATGAGATCCGATATCTATTGCACAATCTATATATGTCTCAAAGAATGTTGATTTCTTCGAGAGAGACATGGTTGGAGCGAAGGTGAGCTTTACGTCTCCATGTTGATTGACAAGTAGGAACCAATAGGCATCCTTACAGTGCACTTTGAAAGCAAAACAGGGACTTTGATTGGCACATGAATGAAAATATATTTTTGAAGCCAAACAACAATTCTAGTCATATTGTTGCTCATACTGTTCATCCCATGGAACAGTTTCTACCTTAGTTATCTGTGGCACAACAAGAACCAGCCATGCATATGCAGAATCAGTGTCTCTTTCTCATGCATATATATATATATATATATATATATATATATTCTTCTTTAGTGAGAGTAGTGGATCTAGTTAGGTGTAATTATATATGTTAGGAAGTTGCTCAAATGAGTCATTTCTGTGTACTATGTTTCAAATTTTCAATTTTGAATAAGCATGTTGTTGATTCAAATGATCATGGATAGGTAGGAAGGGTCCAAACAAGAGGACAACTGCAAGTTTCAATTGAAGTGACCTTTATTTAGTTCTTTTTGGACAATTCAACTTACATGATTATGATTCATGAAGCACATGGTTACTTGGTGCAGTAGTATCTAATTTTCATTGTTGTTTCTGAGCAATCTTATCAATAATAAGCAATCCATGTAATTACTGTATCTACTGTCCACACTTGCTTAATTCATGTTTGTATGAGTTTATTTGACTTAAGTTTGTAATTTGCATTCCTTTCGATTTTTGTCAATAGTCTGTATCTCAGGATCAAAGTTATTTACTTAATTATCTGTTTGTGCAATTCAAGGGGCCATAACATTTATCATTTATCTATTTGGTGCATTCTACCTGATTTTCACCACACACAGATATATATATATATATATTTCACACTCATTTATACTTTCTTATTTGAAATAATTGTTTTGCAGGGTGGATTGTTAAATGGGGGCACATTTCCTTATCATCTGTCTGTTTTCTCCTCACCAGATTCTGGTTTCAATTGATATTTTTGTTTAGTTAATGTGGTGTTCGACATTTGTACATTGATTAAAGTACATTTTACTCTGCTATGTAGTTGTAAAAAGGAAAAAGTTGATTTCAAGTATAGTTTTACTAGGAATTGTTGATAAAATACTAGTTCTTGTGCCTGAGTGTTCTGTATATTGTTGGTAATCTGAATTGAACTTCTTGGCCTTGCATTGCTGCAAAGCAGATTCTAAGGTTTCAAATTCCTGTCATTTTGGATTTTATCGTCAGGTTTTGCATTGGTATCGTTTTGTTTCTACTTTTAGGATCACTTTACAATAATCAATAAATGATGTCAAAACTAAAGTGTGTGACAGTTTTTTTATTTTTTTGTTTTACTTTTTCCTTATTCCATCTACAATGATTTTGTAATGCGATGACAATATATCTTTATTATAAAGTGAAATTATATACTTATAAGTGACAATCCTATGCATCACATCGTTAGACATTCCTCATTCAATCATCCAAGGACGAATAAAAATTGCATATTATGACTAACATTCCTCTCATTATCGTAAATTACCAATATATCAAAAATAATTGCAAAATTGTCTATATGGTCTTGTTAAGTAAATCAGAAATTAAAGATTGGAAATTATTTGTCATTGTTGTTTCTTTTGAGTTTGAATTTATGTAAGGCAAATTTGTCAATTTTATTTGTCTCCATAAGGTTCAATTTTGCTATGGATTTGAGTGTATCTCTTACTTGAATTAAAAGTTAGAACTGGATTGAACATAAAAGTCAAAAAAAAATCTCTACGAAAATACTCTTTTAATTTTTAAAAGGAGTGCATAGGTAGAGTTAGGAACCTAGTTACAAAATTGTTATTTGTTATTAGTTAAAATGGTCGAGCCTTCTATTTATGTGTAATTTTTTCATAATTTTAAACTTACAGTAACTTATTTATGAAAAATAATTTAGATAACTGTGGCCAATCATCATTGTTACACCTAAACAAAAAATAAAAAAATAAAAAAAAAATAAATAAATAAATTATTCAGGTACATTTCTCAAACAATTATTTACGGTCGGACTATGTAATATTTAAGCCACATAAAATAAGAGTGAGAGCGAGAACAAATTTGAAAGCGAGAGTACAAAAATGACAAAATTAAATCACAAATAATGAGAATTTGCACGAGAGCAATAGCATGCTCCTAAGGTGAGAGCCACGCCCGTTGCAAAGGATCGTGTGACTGGTGTAGTATCTTCTTCTCCTTATTTCTGGACATTTTCATCAATGAATATTTGTTTTTCCTTTTTCTTCGTATTACGGGTTTGAAAGCGGGTGGCCCGTCACAAACCCGGCCCAAAACCTTCACTGCTTTTCTCTGAAATTATGCCCACCACTGTTTCAGAGCGCCAAAAATCTCTCTAAGCGCCAAAACCTCTCTCTCTCTCTCATGCCGAGGCTGATCCTCTTGGCCGGATTAGCCACTTCCGTCGCCGTAGCTTCTATATTCATCCGGGGAATCTTCACTACCGGCGACAATGCCATCGTTCGTAGGTCCCGATTTCGTATGTCGAATCTAACGATTGAACGGTTCAGTTTCAGTGTCGGATTGGACCGGCAGTGTTTGGAACTTAACACTGTGATCATACTCGGGAGAAGACGATTCATCTTGGTGGGTCGATTCGGAGTGAATACTCATCTGGAGATCGCGGTGCTTCTCGTGCTTCTTCTCCTCCGATCACAGTCATGGCCCATATTCTTACCGCTTTTGGATGACATCGAAGACGCTTCCGTCTTTTACCTTGAGATGCAAAGGTGTCCTCGATTCACTTGTAGGATTGTCGATGTGCGCATGGATCAGTAGTTGATGCTGTACCGAATACCATCCCAAAACGTCAAACTAGGGTTTGCGGTAATCAGGTTTGAACTTGGTAGAGTGATGAACTTTTCTTCTTCTTTTTATAATTAGTTATATGCTTGGTACGGTCCTTTTTGCAATTTTCCTACGCGTATCCATAAGCAAGGAGTATTCATCATTTCTTCAATTTATAGCTAAACATGAACACTGATGCATCTTTATCTTAGATAATTAGGCCTTGAAAATTTGAAGTTGTTAACCTAGAAGTGCATCTCTTGAACATTTGTATATTGATAACCCTAATAGAAGATTAGGCTTGTACAGAGATTCGGTTCTCACATGAGGAATTCGCTAGGATTTGTGCAGATTTCCGGCAATACAAGGTTGTTGCGAGTTTGAGTATTTGGCGGGGGAATTGAAGAGGAGTGTTGAGCAAGTAGAGGGGTTTTTGCAGTACTTTGCATTTGGTTTGGAGAAGCAGATAGTGTTGAGGAGAGTAATCTTCTTTTATTGAAGATAATGTTGTTGTGAAGTGGTCAAATATTTTATGCATGATAGACATGAGATTGGATATCTATTTCATGCTTAATCTATATATGTGTATATGTAGTACTATCCGTAATTTGGTTTCTTTGAGAGAGACAGGGTTGGAAGAGAAGGGAAGCTATATGTCTCCATATTGATTGAGAAGTTGGAAACAATAGGCAGCCTTACAATGCACTTTGAAAGCAAAAAATGGACCTTGATCAGCACATAAATGAATATTATCTTGAAGCCAGACAACAATTCTAGCCATATTGATTTGATTTTATGTTTAGGCCTTAAAATTTGAAATTGCTAACCTAAAAGTGCAGTGAACATTTGTATTTTGATAATCCTAATAAAATATTAGGTTTGTACAGAGTTTGGGTTCTCACATGAGGAATTGACTAGGAGTTGTGCATATTTTCGGCAATATAAGGTTGTTGCAAGTTTTATAATTTGGTGAGGGAATTGAAGAGGAGTGTGGAGGAAGTAAAGGGGTTTTTGCAGTACTTTGTGTTTGGTTTGGAGAATCAGATAGTTCTGAGCTGAGTAATCTCTAGGTTTTATTGAAGAGAATGTTGTTGTGAAGTGGTCAAACATGTCATGAGATGAGATCCGATAGCTATATCACAATCTCTATATGTCTCAAAGGATGTTGGTTTCTTTGAGACAGACATGGTTGGAGAGAAGGTGAGGTATATGTCTCCATGTTGATTGAGAAGTTGGAAACAGTAGGCATCCTTATGGTTCAATTTGAAAGCACAACAGGGATTTCGATTAGCACATAAATGAAAATTATTTTGAAGCCAAACTACAATTCTAGACATATTGATATGATTTTATTTTTCGTACTCTACGTCCCATGGAACAGTTTCTACCTTAATTATATGTGGCACAACAAGAACCAGCCATGCATGCAGAATCAGCATCTATCAGGGAAACATGAAATGTAGGAAATGCCCATTAGCAGTATTTACTCAAAGTCATGCAGTTTATGTCTCTTGTCAACTAACTGGTTTCTTTTGATCTTGGACATGCCTTGTCATAAAGGGTAGCATCTGGACCTCTAGGCAATCTGTGTTTCTGATTTAGTACAATGTTTGAAATAAATTCAAAAGGTTGGCTATGCAATGACTTTCGATAGCTTGAGTGTGTCTGCAATATTTATGAAGTGCTTTTTAAATCTGTTATGACATACTCATCTCACTTTTTAGTCATGAGATCTCACTGAGTGAAATTGAGTCTCATCAGATGACAGGCTTATACCCCTCACGCCCTCACCCCCTAAATCATCCGGATCAAGTGTACCGCTGAATCCAGGTAGCTAAACAACTTCCCGCTGTTTGTTTAAGACTGACAATTGGCATACATAAATCAAGCTGAGTCTAGTCACTCCAGTGTTATCAAAGGCCCAAGGCACATTAAGGTGCTTTAGGTCCTTTGGAGCCTAGGCGCAAGGCGAGGTGCACAATTGAAAAATTAAATTACTATTAAAGCATATTCATATTCCATATTAAAGGCGCAAATGTTGTCAAAGGCGCATCTGGGCACACAGCAAGTGCAGGTGTTGCGCCTGTATGAGCCCGGAGCCTAGGTATGTGCCTAGGCGCGCCTTTGACAACACTGGCTGAGTCTAGTTGGAGACTTGAGTTTGACACGTTCACCCTTTGAAAGTGTTCTGGTTCTCAGGCTAATGAGGAGTTCAGAAAACTGAGTTTGATGTTGGTTTACGTGTTTGAGAGCCATGTCTTTTTCTTAACTTGTAAAACATTTAGATTGTGTAGCTCGAATTTGGCTCATTTATACTTGTGAGATGGTTCAACTGGATTTCTTAGCTTATGAACATTTTAATATAGTGTTTTATCTGTATTCCTGTTACTTTCTTTATCTAAAAATGAGTATGGAACTAGGCATGTGTTGACAATCAACACTAGGCGAGCCTACTTGCTCACACAGCTGAGAGCCTTGGACTTGAGTTTGGCTTACATTTTCCTTAGTTGCCGAAACACACATGTTACCCACTAGACTTGAATTCTCAATCTCTCAATGTGAGGGGAGAAAATGCCTCTTAGAAATAAATATTCCATTAATTTTGATTTGTCTATTGTATAACACTAACCAAACCAAAACCTAGGGTTCATGCTCTGTCATTTACTTCTGTATCTCTTCACCTAGTGGGTAAACCATGAGAAAATTAAGCTTGAGCTCATCTATATGAACATGTTGTCAATTTATAATTCAAACTTGACATACTTCTGAAAAAATCTATTGTCTTTGAAGCAGATCAGGAAGTTCACACACGACAGCCCCCTTAAGGTGAACGCAAGAAAGACTGCTGCTATTTCAAAGAAAACAAGTAAAAAGAGGAAAATGAAGGAGGTTTTGGTCAACAAACTTTGAATTCTCACGAGATTGCAACTATAGACACGAACATGAACGACCGATATGCGTAGGACAGTTTCTGGTAGAGTATTGCAAAACTTCTTTGCATATATTACGTTGGCTGCTGGTTGACGATGCTCAACATATCCATATTGCCGTATTCAGGTTTGAACTTGTAGAGTGATGAACTTTTTCCTTTCTTTTGGTGTGAGGATATTTGTTATATACTTGGTAGGGTCCTTTTGTAAAGTTTATGATGTTTTCTTCATAGTACTCCTTTTACAGACAAACATGAACACTATAAGGTTGACGCTTCTTTATCTTATCAGAGACTTGGGCTTTGAAAATTTCATATCACTTTAACCTAAAAGTGCATTTCTTGAATACTTTTATAGGATAACCTGAATTGAAGGTTAGGTTTGTTGAGATTGGGTTCTCACATGAGGAATTGGCTAAGATTTGTGCAGATTGCTGGGAATATAAAATTGTTGCGAGTTTTGAGTATTTGGTGAGCGAATTGAAGAGTGGTGAGGAAGTAAATGGTACTTTGCGTTTGGTTTGGAGAAGCGGATAGTTCTAAGCCTAGTAATCTTCAGCTATTATTGAAGAGAATGTTGTTGTGAAGTGGTCAAACATTTTATGCATGATGGACATGAGATCAAATATCCATTTCAATTTTTTTATCTATATATACGTATATGTAGTATCCGTTATTTGGTTTCTTTGAGAGACAGATGGTTGGAAGAGAAGGGGCACCATATGTCTCCATATTGATTGAGAAGGTGGAAACAATGGGCAGCCTTACGGTGCAATTTGAAAACTAAACAGGGACTTTGATTAGCGCATAAATGAAAATTATTTTGAAGAAAAAACAACAATTCTAGCCATATTGATTAAATTTTATGTTTACTACTGTTCATCCCATGGAATAGTTTCTACCTTGATTATTTGTGTCACAGCAAGAACCAGAATTATGTTTATTGCTAACTGGTTTTGTTTTTGTTTCTGATTTAGTACAATATTGAAATAAAGTCAAAAGGTAGCCTATCCAATGAGTTTTGATAGCTTGACTGCAATATGTATGAAGTGTTTTTTAAATCGGCTATGTCACACTCTTCCGAGTCTTTGAGATCTCACATGAAAAAATTGAAAATTGGCATACTTAAATCAAGCTGAGCCTAGTTCAAGAGTGTTCAGTCATAGAGGCCAGTGCCAAGTTCAGAAAACTGAGACATTTTGATATTGGTTAGCATGTGTTTGAGAGTCTTTGACTTCTTGGCTTGTAAAACTTTTTGCTCGAGTCTGGCTCATTTATATTTGTGATCCGGTTCAATTAGGTTTCTTAGCATGTAAAATATATTATTAGAAACTTGTAAATGTATACGGAACACAAGAATTTATAACCCAGCCAACAAGTATCCTCCATGCGAGTGACATTTAAAATCTTGACATAATTCTTGCTTGCACAAGACACTTTCTAAAAGGGTAACCTAACCGGCCTTTCTTGGTCGGAACTATGGGTGCCATTCTCACACCCTTCTATTAGAGTAACTACTTTTACGAGGGCTCAAACAAACATTCTAAATATACAAATTCCTGTAGTGCTCCCATCCACAATTTGTTCCATAACAAGAGGGTTCATATTTATCAAAACACTTTTATTGTCCAAATCACCTATGCTTCCTCGTACACGAGTGAGAATATTCAATTCGCAATTAAAAGTAAAGCCATCCTTACAGCATCAAAAAAACTCAAAATGAAAACAAAAATGACCAACCTGTCGAATTCACACGGCCAATACTAATTACCAAAGACTACATGCTTCTGTGCTTCAAATTTAAACCACATACATGATCTGCGTAAACAAAGCACGCTTTTGATGGAAGCTTCACTTTTAAGTCATTTCAAATAAAAGATGATCTATATAGTAAACGAATCCCCTCAGCACGCCAATATCCCAGCTAACGAGTCTATTTGAAGCCTTACATCTCACATCTCATTCACAAATGGAAAGGAGACAAGCAAAAAAAAAAATTTTGAATGCATCATTCTCGTATGTATTGACCTAGCCGCTTGCTACAATTTCGTGAATGGCATCACTGACAGATTCATCTTCAGATCTAACAGCCAGTTTCATTGCAACCTCTTTTGGTCCATCAATACCAAATGACAACCGAACAAGCACCTTTACATTGCCTATGAATACACCGGATAATAAACATGTGTGTGATCTAGAATTGGCCGGAACCACCTCTGTGCCCTGGAAACACCACAAAAAATAAATGGGGAAGGTTTACCAGAAAATTTTACAGAACATGCTTTATATTTCATTGGGTAAAATACTTCTCAAACAAAAGGTTCTTAGGAAAGATGTTGGATATATTTTTATCATTGGGAATTAATGGAAAGAAAGACGAGCCCCACATCAGGCAAGTGACCTCAAAAATGGAACTAACCGAAGTTCTACTTTAGGAAACAGGATAAACATTGAACTTCATCGACGTGGCAACAAAAAGGGCCATTTTTCCTGGGAATTTGAATCCATATAATGGGAACATTCTACCCAGATAAAGCAAAATTTTAGCCCTCGACATTTTTAAAATTACCTCTCGTAAAAGATTTCAAAATCAAGAAATTCAGAGGCCCTAATCCTGTCTTTGAGCTTATTAACCAAAACGCAACAAGTATCTAGCAAATATGAATCATACTAATGAACTTACCTCACAGGGTTGCATGCCAAGAAGACCTATGACAGCACTCACAGCTTCTGCCAAGCTTTCCCTAGGACCAAGACCATACTCATCTACCCGCTCAAAATCTGGGCCCATGCTTTCCCAAGCATTCCTGAAATTAGAGACTCCAACTTTTAAAATGTAATCAGCTGCAACAACCTCAAGGTCCTCCAGCTGGTACTCGTCTTCTACACCATCTTCCTCAGCCTCACCAGTTGTAGGATCAACCTGGTATTACCAAAAATTAGCAAGAAATATGATAATTATTTTTTCAGCTGGGAATTCTTAGATAAGTTTGCTCTCTCATATTACAATAACAAGCTATTCTAATAAACTATGGGTTAAAATAGTCTAGCTACAAAAATTCTGTGTAAATGGAAGTATGGAATGGATTAAATACGATAGATAGTGTTTCCTTTAATATGCTTCATACCTCCTTGTGTGCTTGCTTTACTAAAAAATCAATGATTATCACACGCCTAAATTCAAATACATTCAACAATGTGGTCCAGGTAACAATTTCCAAAATTTACTCGACTTCGAACGCATTGAAGGCATATAATGATGCATGTACATTAGAGAGTATCATTTTTAACACGATGAGACACAAAGACAGCCTCCTTAGAAGTGTCCATGTTACTTGGACTTCACCAAATTCATAGCACAAAGAGAAACAGAAAAAGTGCAGGACAGTACCTCTTTAACAATGAACTTCAACATGTTGGAGAATTTTCCAACAGCTGGAACTCCATCAGGTTTCTCAAATACCACAAATGTCTGTCCAGGTGAGTCATACGGAAGGGATCTCAAAGGCTTGGTTGCTGCTTCAGAAAATTCCTCAGCTTCTGAAGCATCCACAATAACAGTGACCTGGCAGGAGGAACATGAGAATTGAGAAGAAGCTCCAAAGTAAAATATGAGTTACTACTTTTAAAAAGGGTCATTACATTTTCCAGTAATTGCTCAGGAATTGTATTGGTGCAGTTGTACTGGAAGACAACATGGCTATCAAAAATGTGTTTGACAGCATTAACTGCATATTCTGTTTCAGCTTCTGTAAGCTCCACGGGTGCCGAGGACTGGCAATAAGAAATAAAGAAGAATAAGTAATTCCTTAAGTTATTATACTAACCAAATAAATCATAACAGGTATGTAATATGGAGGAGGATCCAGACAAAAGAACCTTGAAAAGCTTCCCATAGTTTGCGAACTCGGGGATAGAGGACAGCAGCTTCTCATAAGCATCAACTGTGGATGCGGGGGCTGTCGGAGGTGCACCCAAGCCAGTTGGCTTTTTACCAGGAGCTTTCTTCTCGGCAAGTGGCTGAGACTTAACCTCCTTAGGTACAGAGTCAATATCAAAAGGATTTTCTGAAGGCTCTTGTATCTGTATCAAACAAATGTGAGTAGATGACTTTGACAACACATAATGCACAGAGATACAAACTCTTCAAGAATACTCACATAGTTCTTCAAACTCGTCTCCAGGTTGACCAGTGGAATATCCAGCGACCCAAAGAGGAAGTCTTTCACATCTTTATCAGTTTCAACAACTGAGCCATCACCTCCAAGAGTATTCAGATACAGCGTAGCCCTATCGCGAACCTGCAAAAAGATTAGCATGCAAAAGGCTTCTTAGAAAATAAAATGATTACAAGAAGTGTGAGGTATAACTAACCCTTATAATGAACTGAAGGTGTTTAACAGGTAGGCTCAGTTTCAGATAAAATACTTCTTAGTGCCACAGAAGTTGAAAAACTCAATTATGAAAAGAAAATTTTTTTTTTTTGAAAAACTAATCAAAAAATGATGCAGTATCCTTTATTCCAATTTTCAGGATATGGGTATAGAATATTGGGATACTTAATTTAATCATTTGATCATTTGGACACTTCACAAAAACATCAGTTCGGGGAAAACCATAATAGGCCAAATTCTCAAAACAAGCTTTCTCATTACACGGTGTATAGTTTAATCTAAAAGACAGATGTAGTAATAGAAATATAACTGTGCATGATAAACTTTCCAAAGCCTCTCAATAGAAAGAAAAAAAAAAAAAAAAAAGAAGCACTAACACATAATTTGTCAAGTTAAAGGATAAACACCGGAACCATGGCGATTGAAATATAATATAATACAAAAACTCACCTCATCATCACTGTCAAATAGACAGCGTCTCAACAAAATAAAGATACGGGGCTGCAACAAAATTTAGACAAAGACACCCCTAGTTAGTTAGTAACATAACTTGCTTAAAATTGGCAGATAGGACAAAAGTAGGTAATCTTACCTTCAGCAAATCAACCATAGCACCAAACTTCGCCAATGTGCTCACAGCACTGGCTCGCACAGTTGCATTTTCAAGTATTACTCGATTGTAAATGTACCGTATATATTTGCTGGGATCTGAGGTCTTAGGCCCCTCAATTCCAAGAAAATGAAGAATCTAATCATGCACAAATTAAAAAATAAATAAATTAGTAGGCCAGCCAATAAAATGACAAGCAAAACCATAGTGAAGATAGAACCACTAAGATGTATACAAGCTACGCAGCAATAACACCATTGAGAAAAAATGTTTACCTGTGTTGAAAGATAAGTGAATTCACAATCCTCAATGAATTCACATAGGTGAAGCAACCCACTTTCTTTCGCATCTGGGATGTCCCTTATAAGGATCACAATTGAATCAACAATTGCCTTTTTGTACTCAAATCCACCTTCTTCCCTCAAAATATTGCTTAAGAAATTCATCCTTTAAAAAAAATAAAGAGAAAAAAATGTCAATATAGCAATCTCACCAAAATGTATGTAGAATTGCTTGTCCAAGAAAAGAAGCAAACACGAAACCTAAAGTTTAAACGGTAGACATGTCTATTCACTTTCTAGGCAAAGGCTAAGATAACTCACAAAGATCTGTACTTGAGGGGGAACTTTAAACACAACGATCTAATCGCTTCCACAACAACAATCTTGAACTCATCAGCAATGTCAGACATGAAATTGGTAATTTGTTTCATCAATCTATCAACACTTGACTCGTTGCCAGTTTTTAGCAGCGTGGTGATCGCAAGAGTGGCTATGCTTCTATTTTGGTCAGAAATCAAGCTCTCCATATCTATATTGCAATTTGTAACAGCCATTGGATGTGTCATGGCCACCTGAAGACATTAGACATATATAATCAATTACAAAGAAAATCCCATCATATTCTATACAGAAATAAAATGACTGGAAAAATTTTAAGTCAAGAAACCTTAATCCCCAGATGAAATAGGGAAGGTTGTAGAAATATACTATGAAATAGTTCTACATATGATAAAAATGACAGACAGATCCCACATTAAAGCTCCAGCATTTTACAGGTAATTATTAAATTCTTTCACTTTGGAACAAAATATTTCAAAATAATAACAAAAATAATATTATATTAAACATTATAGATCTAGAGGTCATACCTTTTCTTTGGTATGCAGTGGGACTTCCCTATATCTGTGGTGGAATTGTTGGTCAATTAGAAGGGAGCTAGAGTGAATAAGAGAGTGCAATTGGTGTGGGAGGTAGGACATTTTCCCATTCGTTGGTGACTTTAGAAAGAAAGGAACAGGTGTTTCTTTGAGGGTAAGGAGGATTCTATGGTGAAATTGAAGTTTTTTATTCAGTACTGAATTTTTTTAATTTCAGGACTAGATACAATAGTGACTGATTATTTCGCAGTTTTAAGGAAATAAAAGAGTAAGATTTGTGCATTAGCCACATTTATTTATTTTTAACAATGCCACATTTACGAGGAGACGGGATGTGTTTAGGGTGTGTGTGAAGTGTTTGGTGTCATGTTGGACACAAACAAGGGAGCTTCCTGAAAGTGTCCATGCGTTTTAATTTATCACTAAAAAAGTGCAAGTTATGCCATGCGTTTTAATTAATGCCATTCGATTTTCATTTTGGGGACAAAAAGCCTCATGTGAAAAATAAATAAAGGCCAGGCCAACAAATACTACAGAAATTCTGGCCTCACACAAGGGAAGAGATCAAGCAGTGAAGAGATATGGTGAACTACAAACAAAATATTAACATGATAAACCAACAACACAGTGCACACAAGAGTTTTCTAGTAGTAGGCTAGAAAAGTGTAACCTTGTTCAAAGTGCGGACTGCAGCAAACCGAAGCACTGGCTTCGAAGAACTTAAGAAGAGTTGTAGAACAGTAATAGCTGGAGTCAGTTCTCGACTTGTTACTCCACTCAACTCCGTAATTGCCCTAGCTGCTTCAAAGATAACCATTTCTGCTTTATGGCGGAGACAACCCTCAAGATAATCATAAAATGGGCGGTCCCCAGTTTGGCTGTTTGCACTTGATTCTCTGATAACCTGAAAACATATTTGTCATGCAATACTTGTTTAATAGCGAAGTTAAACATACAAACAGCCACCCGAACAAGAAACACCGTGTTTCAGCAGAAGTAATGCACCTGGCTAGTATAACGAATCAAGAGACATTGAGCCAAAGGCGAACGGACAGTCCCCCTAGTCAAGCTAGTAACTAGCTTGCTAACAGCTAATCGGTCATTTTGCCGTATCTGCAAATTGGCAATCATATACATTAAAATCATGTCAATGTTATGTTGTATCAATTTAGTCCACACGTGAGAAACTAGGAAAACAAGAATATTTCCAACATGGCTCAAACTATAGAATAAAAATAACAAAACATTCCTTTCACTTTTTAAAATGATTACAATGTGCTAAAACCAATTGTAGAAACACCTACAATCAGATAAATGGAAATGCGTCCAAGTTCTTGTCCTGCAACATATAACAAAGAACACATGGAAAACACAATAAATTGCAAAGGACCCATCTTTTGCATTGAAATGAACCGCCATATAAAAGAAAGAAGCTACAAAATGCAATTCACATCATATTTGGATCATGTACCAGCATACATGCAAATCATAACAAAAACCATACATAAAAATGTGATTTTGAGTGGAAAGGGGAGATAAAAGTCATATATATGCCTTTAATCTCAGAGAGAGAGAGAGAGAGAATATATCGATCATAAACAAACTAAACAAGGTTGCATAAGAAACAACATTTGTGGTGACTGTCAGTGGGTGGCCTCAAGATTATTGTATGCAGCAACGGACAATTTATTACACAAATTACAGGGCAATAACCACTTGATGGGTAAAACACAAAACACGCAATCCACTTTTTTTGTAGAAGATAAAAAAAAAAAAAAAAAACAACAGATAAGATTGGCAAGGATATATCATCTTATGCACAATAACTATATCTGAACCACTTTTTTTTTTTTTTTTTTTGGTTGTAAGGTAACAAAAAGTAGCTATTAGAAGTCAAGTTCTACATAAATATTACTTAAGACACTCAAAGTTCTTGTATAACAGATGTGAAAGAGAAACCAAAGGACTTAAAAAAAGAAACAAGTGGAATAGGCAATTTAGATATATTCTAATGGCAATACAAATCACTTTCCCAAACTTGCTTCCAGACATGTGCTTGAATATTTATGTAGAAGAATAATCACTTATGTAATGCTTTGATTCATCATATTTTACTAAAACGGGATAGTCATAAGTCATACGTTACCAAAGCAATCGTGCATACTATAATGGTTAACTTTCACAAAGTTACTTCATGCATGAAATATGAGTCATACTTAATAAGCACATCAAGCTTAACTACCCAATGTATTAACTCCCTACAATCCGAAATAAAAGCCATCATCCTTTTTTTGCAATGTCGCAAAATAAGAGTCCATTTTGAAAAGTCACTGTTAAAATTTGAAACTTCCCCAAAATGATTCTTAACTTTTGAAAACTTTCTCATGTCAAAAATGTATACGTTTGAATATTTGGAGGGTTAATTTGGGAATTTCAAACAAAACATTCGTCTAAGCATGTCTCTTAATAAAGTTGGGAGTCCTTAAAAGAGTGGAGTATTAATTACTTTAAAATATCAATGTGCCACCAATATATCATGTTTTAAACCAACAAATAACTCAAGTGTTTTAACATTGAATACAAGTCTTCTGTACCTGATGGAGCAGGGCAAGAGCATGGAACTGTACAAGTGCCGCCCTTGACTGAACAGCTTCTTGAACCTCATTACTCCACCTTTTCACAATCTCTGGGTTTGTCTGTCAAACAAATAACAGATAATAAGATGAAAATTCTAAATACTTGAAAACAATGTTAATTATTATGATTATTATTATTATTATTATTTTGATAAGTAAGAAAACAATGTTAATTATAAATTCTAAAAAACTTGAAAACAATGTTAATTATAAATTCTAAAAAACTTGAAAACAATGTTAATTATTCATAACTATTTGAAAGTACCTGAAGTAAATGGATTCCACTAACAAGGGCTGCACTTGCAACCACGGGGTTTTTGTCAACAATGGCTTGTTTCAAGTATCTCTCAATTTGTGTGAGAAGCGTTCCATCGGTGATCCGACAAAGAACACGGATAGCATTTGCCCGGTACATATCAGTCTTGCTATTCATGTCTTTCATAAGGGAGCTTGTGACAATAATGACCTTTCATGAAAGCTCAAATGTCATTTTCTACCTCTCTATAAAGCATGATTTAAACTTTAAAGAAATAAAAGAAACCAATGTATATATAACCTCATCTGCGGAGGGAGAGAGCTCCTTTATCATCAAATAAACCATTCTCCTCAAACCGATATCTCTTGACTGAAACAGCTTTGTGACAGAAAAGAATACTTCTGTGGCTTCGGTCTAAAATTTTAAAGTGAAAAAAAAAAAATCATTCTAGATGAAAGTAATGAACTCTATCTTTATAAATGAACAAATTCTACATGTTTGAACAATTAAATTTTTTTCACTAGTACATTTGAACTATTAATTTGATGCACCACAGAACAAATAAATAAATCCAACCTCATAAAACATGGATTTTAAAAAAAATGTATATCTTGTTATATGTATATGCAGTTGTAATTTTGTATAGACATGTGTGCACGGCCAAGTGTATCTATATAAATAATTTGTAGCACAGACCTTCGTAAAGGTCTCCCCCTGATTCAGAAGATACAGAAGCTTTGTAATGACCTGAAAAAATAAAACAACACCCACAAAATCATTTTGTTCATAACGAAGAATACAAACATATTGCATGCACAGAGTTAGGTGGCATAAGACAAAAGCACCTGTGAACATCTCCTTGAGTCAAGCTGAGGGTCATTGAAGACCCTTGCTTCTTGAAGGACCGCACCTTTCTCGATCCCAAGAAATGGAGAGTACTCGGCTGCCAAATTAGAAAGGGAAGGGGGGGAAGTACAATCAATCTCACAATGTGCCTCAGCAATAGATAAACTGAAAGCACAACCAGCAGGAAATAGTACCAAAAAACAGATCTCATACATAATTCACTGATCTAATAACATCAACGAACCAAGTTCCCCAATAGCCATTCATAATCCGAACAAAAAGACTAGCAGGACACATCTACAACTAATACACGAACAACTCCAACAGTAACAGATCAATTATAATGGACTCTTCTTTGTGAATGTCAAGGATTGATCTACAACAATACTGATTGATCTAAATACCTAAATGCTAACACATAAACTAAATTGAATTAAGTTTCTTCACAATGCATTCGTAATCGAAAACACGGTAAATACACGCAGATCTGAATCTTTGATATGAATAATCGAAAATTAAAAGCCAAATCGAACCGAATGCATAAATCAAATAAATCGTTACAATAACAGAATTAAAATATTCAAAGGAAACTATTATCAGTAAAAAAACATCGAATTATCACAAACCTTCGTCATCGCGATCGTCGTCCTTTTTCACAAGAGGCTGAGCCATTGAAGAAAGATACTAGGGATTGGCGAGATCTGTGATGTGCCTACTGAGACACAAATGAAGAAAAGCTCGATAGTGAACAAAAGCGTGAGGAATTCAGATCTCTCTCTCTATATATAATATGTGTGTATATAAATATATATAAGCACAAGTTGTTGAAGACCAGCAGATCTCTTATCTATGTGTGTAGAAGTGAAGTTTTTGAACGGGCTATTGGGTGTGAATAGAGGCGAAGTGCGGGTTTTATCTAAACCCGAATGCTTCGGCATTACTAATGCAGTAATGCTTCAGTAACTTAACCAATAGTATTCGGCCACGTCATAAATTTTTGTAATCCAACTAATGTTCGATAAATTTGTTTTTGTTTTTTTTTTTTCCCCTCAAATTATATATATTTTTCACCCTATTTTTCATATGTAAGTTTTCACACACAAAAAAAAAAAAAAAAAAAAAAAAAAAAAAATTATTTTTAGAAAAACATACAAATTGAACAAAAACAAAATCTTATGGTCGGTTTGGCAGTGATGAGTAGGGACCAACGAGAATGTGTCTCCCTCGCACTTTTTTTTTTTTTTAATGTTTTATTTGGTTGGAGGAACGAAAAAATAGATGGTATTATTTTCAAATTTTCATTCATGATGGGTATTTTTATCAAATTATTCTCGTTTTTCAAGTATACGATGTTTCCCCACTTTATACAAGTATTGGGACCGGTTTAATGTCATTTACATTGTCGGGACATGGAAAGGGGTGAATGAGACAGCTTTAGGGAAGGGAATATATTTTTCTCACGTTTTGTTTGGTTAAATGAAATGGACAATAACCAACGGGCCAGTAGTCTAGCGGTATCAGCCCCTGACCTAACAGTAGAAATGATGGATGGGATGACACTTTTTTTTTTTTTTGTTTGATTAGAAGGAAGGAAAAGAGTTTATATTATTTTTACCAATATACCTTTATTATTTAAAAATCTAAAAATTCCATATCAATCCCAAATTTTTTGGAAGTTTAGAAATGAAAAATCCATATTAGTGTTAGTTATTACTTCTTTCTCTCTCCTCTTCCTCCCAATTTTGAGTGAAAAGACAAAATACAAAAAAACGAGGGATGAAGCATTTCTCCTTACTTCCTTCCCCTTTTCCCTTCCCTCTAGCCAAACACGAAAAATTTAGTGCATCCCCCATTTCATCCGTCCCCGCTTTCTCCCTCTTTTCACTTCCCTCTAGTCAAACATGAAAAATTCAGCTCATCCCCCATTTCATCCCTCCCCGCTTTCTCCCTCTTTTCCCTTCCTCCAACCAAACATAGCATAAATGGAATAGATAGAAGAATACACAAATTTTTTTGTTACTGAACATAGCATAAATGGATTAGATAGTGGAAGACACAATTTTTTTTGTTTGATTTGAAGGAAGGAAAAAAAAGTTTTTATATTATTTTACTAATATATACCTGCGTTATATAAAATTATAAAAAATAAGTGCTTTTTAGAAACGTCAAAATTAATATTTTAAATATTTAGGCAATTATTCACTATTTCTGTTCTTTTTTCTGCCTAATTTTGGACTAACAAGAAAACTTAAAACAAAGAGAGATGTTTCTGTTGGGATTTATATGCCCTGGCATAGCAAATTCCTGTTTGGATTAATTGACATATGTTCCTGACGTTTCTGAAATATTTATGTTTTATACAATTGGTGAATTTAATGTATTATATTTCGATTCACTATGAAATTGATAGTGTCCATGTAATTACAAGAAATATTTATATATATGTATGTGATGGCAATCAATGCATGATATATAAATAGTAATTATAAATTGTTCATAGTCGGTAATTATGGATGGACTCATAATTAATTAAGACTTGAACTGGATCCGCGTTAGGTTGAGATATATTGCGAGAGCCGTCGTATGCAATTACTCCCTATCACCGTCATGGTATTTGACTCTTAAGCATGAGAAAAGTATAGACTCTTTTATTAATTAATAATTACTTTGATTTGTTCGGCGGATTCTTCGGGATCCTTAGACCGACACTTCGGGTAGTTATGTAATTAATAGTTAGAGGGTTATATTTTTAATATTTGCATCATTGATACTTGTATTTATTTTGTATTGATTATGGTTGATCACAAAGTAAATTCGAAGGCCTTCGTATGATTTTAGACAAAATGATTTATTATATATTTATTTATTAAATTATTATTTTTGTCAAACAAATATTTTATTGTGATCGAGCCAGAAATAATCAAAGGTATCAAAATAAATATATTAATTAAGTAGTCGGATTGATGGCTATATTTATCCGATAACTAATTATGCATAGAGGGGTCAAAATGCAATATTGACTTAGAGGTTATTTATTATTTAATTGGAGTTCAATTAATTTCTTTTAGTGGAGTAGAAATTAATTTATGAATTAATTTAATTGGGTCCATGGACCGGGCCAATCATTAATTCGTTGTAGCCAATAAAATAATAGGCCCAATGGATTCTCACTCATAGCCCAACTTGATATTGGAATCATATTAGATTTGAGACATGTAAATTAGAGATTGAGAAGGATTCGTTGTTTCCTTTTCTTTACTTTTATGTTGCCTATAAATATACATGGTTTATGTATATTTTAGGGGTGATTTTTAGTAGAAGAAAAAAAGGAATATATTTTCTCTCTCTAGAAAATTAGGGTTTAGGTTCTCATCTAATGGAGGCTCCCACAAGCCTAGTTTTCCAAGGTCATTCATGGAGGCATATGAGTGATTCCTAAAGGCAAACCAATTACAAAGAAGATGGAGATCCAAGGAGAATGCATCTTGCTAAGGGATCTACAATAAGTGAGAACATTCACTTTAGAGGAGAGATCTAAGGTTTACTCAAACCTTGATGTAAGTATTCAATCTTTTAATTGAACGATACATCATGTTTTATTTTTGCATAAAACTTGTCTCTATGTGATGAATCAAGATCTATGAATTTAAATCCCTCGAAAAGTTTTTAAAACTAGCACGTTTTCCAACAGTGGTATCAGAGCATGGTTTGATTAATTACTAGAGATCATGATTTTATGAAAATCATCATTCATGGATCCAAAATTATATTCATATATATTTTTATTGATGTATGTTGATGTATGATTTAATATGTTGATATATATTGATACGGAATGATGTATGAATAATTGTGAATGAATGATGATGTATGGTTGGGCCATGGATGAAGCTTATAGGTTAAATTAATGTAATTTTATCTTTGGATGAATGTAATTAAGGCTTTGATTTAGCCGTTTGAAAGTTCAATGATGTAATTTAATTTTTTCCATTGTATTTCAAATTGTAAATATTTTTAAAGTCATGTAATCTTCGTCAAAGGATGCTATGAAGCTTCAAAAAGGTCCAAAAAGGTTAAATTATGCTTCAGTAATTTTCTGGAATTTTTCCGAATTTTTTGGAATTTTTCTGGAATTTTTTGAGGCTTAATTTAATTTTCTGGGAATTTTTCTGATTTTTCTGAAATTTTTCGGCGTTTTTCCGGTGGCCGGAGCATCACCGGCGGCGAGAAGAGACGTCGGAGGAGGCTAGAATCAAGTGCAGGTCTATGGTGGTGAGCCTGGCGCGTGAAAAGCACGCGCCAGGAGCTGGAGGCGTAGATGACATGCTGGCGCGTGGGTCTCACGCGCCAGCCAAATCCACCTTCCCTCCACGCGCGTGCAGGCGCGTGGAGGTGCGTCCCACGCGCGTGCCAGCGCTTGGGGGCGCGTCCCAAGCGCCCCAGGCGCGTGGGGGCGCGTGCCTTCACCTGCAGCATGCCCCAGGCGCGTGTAAGCGCGTGTGGGGCCCTTCAGGCGCGTTCCAAGCGGTGTTTTGCTTCTCCCGGTGCGTACCAGCCTTATGTGGGTGTTTGCAAGCCGATGGATGATCTTCCCGTAATACTTAGAGTAGTTAAATGTTAAAAGCTGATTCCATTGACCATTTTATTTGTTTTATCTGTCATTTGTTTATTTATGCGATGTATGAAATGCATGGAATATATAATTGTTAATTAATTATTATTCATGCATTGGATCCATGATATTTATTTAAATGGCTTGATTTATATTAATTAAGTTATGAAAATTAATTGGATTTGATTACTAATTAATTTGAGGGCACTTATTGGAAAACGCAAAATTATTTTTTTTGTAAATTAATTTTAAAAGTGTGCTTCAAATTAAATATTAGTGAATCGTTTAAAGTCCAAATATTTTCTAAATTTAATTGGATTAAAATCAAGACGTTTTGAATGCATTATATCATGTAAATAAATAAATTTAAAACCCTACTTATGAATAATTAAAAATTAAGTGGGAGCGGGGATTTTTATACATTACCCCATGGCCTTCGTTATTAAAACCATTGTAATTAGATCTTCAAACATAAGGCCCCACGCATGATTTGAAGAGTCTTAATATTACAAGAATGGTTGTCTCATGAAAATATAAATATTAAATGTTCATTGTAATTAGATCTTTAAAAATAAGGCCCTACGCATGATTTAAAGAGTCTAGATTATAATGACAACATATTTAATGTTTAATTTTTCGTTAGAATTTTAATAACGTTATACACTCAATCTAAAATCAATAGTGTTAGCTTCCCAACGAAGTGGTCTATACTAGGTGATTTTAGAAAGGCTAAATTAAATCGGGAATCATTTCATATGATAGACAAGGCATTATCTTAAGAGATATGAAAATGATGGGATTTGCCCGCCAATAGCAATAATGAATTTCGCCAACCGAATAAGTTATTGGCGCATTGGTTATTCGATTTTTCATGCAGTGGTTAAGGGACCCACATATTATTATTTTAATGGAAGTGCTCGCTTAATAGCAAATGCATCTCAATAATAGTAATAATGAACTCCTCTAACAGGATAAGTTATTGACGTATTGATTAGTTGATTTATTATGCTACAGAGTTGAGGGACCCGCATTAATTAAAAGGGATTGTTCACCAATAATGATAATGATCTCTTGTTCGATTGAGATTAATTGTATTATGTGGTTAACAAGCTCATTTTAATTTTAAATATGCATGACATTATTAATAGTTCACCTTGCATATTGTATGAATGCATTTATATTCAGATTAATTATGTCTAATCCAGTTTATCTGCTTGCTTACATATTCTATGATATTGGACATTATTTATAATGACTG